TGTCGCCTCACTTCCGGGAGCGCCTGGGCTCTGCGGCCGCCTACGCGCAGTGCTGCCAGCCGGCCCCGCGCCGCGGAGTGGCGTGAGCGCGCAGCCAGGCCGAAGCCCCGCCGTCCGCGCCTCCCGCACCTCTCCCTGCGGCCATGGGGGCGTCCGCGCGGCTACTGCGCGCTGTGATCATGGGGGCGCCCGGCTCCGGCAAGGGTACCGTGTCGTCGCGCATCATCAAACACTTCGAGCTGAAGCACCTCTCCAGCGGGGATCTGCTCCGAGACAACATACTTCGGGGCACAGGTGGGGAGCCCGGGCTGGAGCGGTGCAGTGCGCTGTTGCCCCGGTTGGGATTTGCGGGCGAAAGGGTCCGGGCAGAAGATGCGCGTCCCAGGGATGCGGGTGCAGCGTCTACTTCCCGCTTCCCAGGGACGAGACCTCAGGCTGTTGAGCAACTGACTGCTCACCGAAACCTCTGACCTCCTTGGACCGCTTCAGGCAGGTTTTGAGGGGAAGGGACTAGGCAGTTAGGCCACGTTTGAAGTTCAAAGGTGAAAGGAAATCAGTTGGATTTGAGAAGCAATTCCAGCCTGAGTCGCAGATGTTCTTAGGGGGTCCATTTAATTGGCTTATTCTCCACGTGCCCCAGTGCCTAGAGAATTGTTTGCTCTTTCTTTTTACCTTTTCTTTTTTTTTTTTTTGAGGGAGGAGTGGTAAACTGGGATTTTCTGGTTCTGACCTTTCCCCTGCAGTCTGAAGGCCGAGCATTGTTTACCCTCGTTACAGTCACACAGTTGGCTTAGATCTTCCATACCCCAAGAGATTTCTTAAGACACGAAGGCTATTCTTGTGCGTGGTCCAACTGAAAGACTGTTTTGTTTCTCATGCCAAATAAATTTTTATAACTCAGCACAAAATCCAGTCAACAAACTCTACACTTTACAATGGGTTGATTTCATGTTATGTAAATTATATCTTAAGAAAGCTGTTTTCCAAAAGTCAGCGGCAGGGTGAGGGACTCCTTTTAAAAAATTATAGAAGTACCACAACTTCTTTATCTAATCGTCTATTGATAGGCACTTAGATTGCTTCTGTATCTTGGTTATAAATAGCGCTGCTGTGAACATAGGGTTGTATAAATCTTTTCGAAGTAGTGTTTTGTTGTTTTTTTTTTGATAAATACCAATATTTTGATGGTTGTCCATAGTGGCTGTACCAATTTGCAGAAGGCGACGGGATTAAGAAGCACAAATTAGTAGTTACAAAACAGTCATGGGTATGTGGAGTACAGCATAGGGAACATAGTCAATAATATTGTAATGACCGTGTGTAGTGCCAGGGGGCGTTCTAGAGTAATGGAGGAGGGATCACTTTGTAACTTACATAAATATCTAACCATTGTGCTGTACACCTGAAACTAATATAAAATTAAATTAAATTTAAAAAAAAATATAGAAGTAATGCCTGCACAAGGTAAAAAAAAAAAAAAGGATTGGAAACAGTGAGGAAATACATAAAATAAAAACCCCTTCTCATGACCAGACTCAGCCCCATTCTTCAAAGGGGACAGTGTCATGCATTTCCTTTTAGAAATTTATGTATAAGTTTTATTTATATGTATATGTATATGCTTTTTTAAAATGTAATATGTTAACTATATATGTATTCTGCACCAGTGTGTTTTCACTTTATATCTGGGAAATCTTTCCACGTAAAAACATAGACATCCATTTCATTCTTTTAATGTTTGTATAAGTATCTACTGAATCTACTATGATTTATTTAACTGATCCCCTATTGATAAGCATATAGGTGATTTCTAGATAGGGCTTTGTTTGTTTCAAAATAGTGACATTTAAGTGAAAAAAAGAACCATCCCAGTGTTTTTAGATTGTCTCTCAAAGTTTTTTGGTTCAGCCCCTGGTTTGGTGAATTACTACCTTTATTTTCCTGTTCTAACATTGATCTTTAAAAAAAAAAAATTTAAGTATTTTGTAATTAAACCTCTTCAAAATGTTAAATTGTTTGCTTCTCTTGCTAAGTGTTCTTGATGCAACATATTAAAATATTTAGGTAATAATAAACAGTCTCCAGTACTGCACCTAGTTGGGGTAAGTTTATCCCAAGAGGAGAGGAATAAAGAATCCTTAAATGATTCTCTAAAAAATAACTAAGTAGTGACTTATAACTGTGTGGGTAGAGAATACCTCCAGAGAAGAGTTAAGGATACATTAATTTGTGAAAACACAAAACATTAAAAAATAAATTTAAAGCCAATAACTAAACTTTTAAAAAACTTTAGAAATAATACTCTGTGTTTAGTTTATCCTTAACATCCCATAACATGCTTGCTGTCCTCTTTTGAGCTTCATAACATGAAAAGAGAGGCTACAGGGAGGAGAGGATCATCGCGATTCAATTTGTCTCAGGCGTCTGCTCTTACTAGAGGATTTACAGGCAATTGTTTAACAAGGAAAACGGAAAATGTAGTTTAGGGAGGTGTCATGAGATTGTTATTACAGATGTTTTCTATCTCAGGACTAAGAATATATTCTTAATAAATATTTGTGAATGGAGTGGATATTTCCCACAGAATCAGAGCCAAAAGAGAGGTATAATCGTTTATAAAAAAAATACTACTTAATGTTTTTTTGATAATAAGAATATTATGAAGAAAAACATGTCATGAAAATATAAAAAAGAAAATTAAAATCCTCTATTTTACCACCTAGAGACGATTATAATTTGCTGCTTTTTCTTATATTTTTTCTTCTCTGTTGCATTTATATGTATTTGCAATTTTGTTATATTCTAAATTATTCCTTAGAAACCTTTTTTCTCACTTATTGTGAGCATGTTCACACATCATTAAGCAGTCTTTAAAATGATACTTAGTTTTGTCAAGATTGCACAACTATTAAAACATTTTCCTGTTATCAGATATTTATGTTGTTAACCACTCTTTGGAATAACAAATACTATTATGATTATCCCTGTACACGAACATTTGTCAGCATCTCTGCTTATTTCCTTTGAATAAATTCCCTAGTGTGGAGTTTCTGTAAAAATGATACTATCAAATAGTGTTATAGAAGGATGGTGCCAGTTTACTCTGCAACAACCATATCATGAGGTTATTTTGTAATCCATGGCTGTATTTCATAGCTAAAGTTTAAAATCATCCCAATGGGTATGATAAAGACACTGGCAACATGAGCAACCCATTGACAGCTCCAAACCTGGAGTAACCGTAGACTCTACCACTGGGCCCTGGGGTCAGGAAACTGGAGTTTGAGCATTAGACATTAATCCAGCCCTCTCATTTAAGATAAGGAAACTGAGTTCAGGAGAGGTTAAAGAACCTGCTCCACAATGTATGGCAGTTACTGGGGGACAAGAGTGAACACCCAGGTCTCCCTGTGTCCCAATTAAATTACTTTTTCCATTATGCAGCATTTCCCAAATCGAGGTTCATGAGATAATTTTAGGTAGACAAAATTTTATCTCAAAAGTAAAATTCAAATTTAAAAACCAATGAAAAATTTTTACTTCATTCCAAAGTATATTTGAAAAACAGCTAGCACACCAAATCTTGAATTTCACGAACATTATAGCTTATTAAATTAAAAAGCTGAGTCACTTTAAAGAAAAGTATATAGAAAATAATCGTTCAGCTATGGCAGAAAGGTTGCCATATGATTGCCCAGAGTTTGAGAAATGGCATTGCAGCTTAGTGCTTCTCAAAGATGTAACCCTGGACTGGATGGCTAACCCTTTTGAATTTTATTTGTTCTCATCTGTAAGTTGGGGAAGTAGATAATCTTCAAAGCCTCTGTCAGCTCCCAAGATTCTGTATGTCTAACAAACTTTTATTATTACACCTATACAGGATAGGTCTGCCTAGTTATAATGATATTTACAGTAGAGCAAATTATTTTTATAATGGCAAAAAATTTCGTTTATAGTAGATAATATATTTACATTGTTTGGAATTCCAAAAAATATGAAACAACATTTAGTAAAAGATCCTTCCAAAACTATTCCATACATAGAACCTTTTGCTCATTCTTCCTTGTTTTTTTTTTTTCTTTTTTACACAAATGAAAGCAAACTGTACATACTGTTCTGGACCTTTAACAGTATTGCTTTCTATAAAGATTGCCCCATTTCTTTTTTTCTAACAACTTTATTGAGGTATAATTTACATATCATATAATTTACCGATTTAAGGCTTATAATTCAATGAACTTTAGTGTATTCACAGAGTTATACAATCATCATCACAATTGATTTTAGAACATTTTCATCACCCCCCAAAACAGTCACTTGTATCCATTTAGCAGTCACTCCCATTCCCACTCCACCCTACTCTGAGCCACTGGCAACAACAATTTACTTTTTGTCTCTATTGATTTGCCTGTTCTGAACATTTCATGCAAATGGAATCTCATAATATGTGGTCTTTTATGTCTGGCATCTTTTAGCACAATGTTTTCAAGGCTCGCCCGTGTTATAGTACATATTGGTACTTCATTCCTTTTTATTGCCTAATAATATTACATTGAATGGATATACTCCATTTTGTTTATCCATTCATGAGTTATGGACAGGTGGGTGGTTTCTCCACTTTCTGTTATTTTAGGAGTGCACTAAAGTTTGTTTAAATAGTTTAAAGATCATTTGAAAAAGATGAACCTGATAATATCATCTCAAAAAAAGTAAGCTTTTGTTAGATTTTTAAAAACAAAACAAGTTAGGCTTTTTAAACTTCCATGGCTAGAATCTAGGCAAGTCGAAGAAGCTCATCTCTCCATCTGTTCATCCATCCATTCATCCATGCATCCAATTCATCTATGGATCCATCGAACACCTAATGTGTGCTAGGTACTGGAGGTACAGAGACAAATATATTTTACTTGGAGGTACCCACGGTTGGAATGTAGGAGTGAGGGGAGGTGGGAAAATGGCCATGTGTATTAGTCTGCTCAGGCTGCCGTAACAGAATACCACAGACTGGATGGCTTGAACTACAGTATTTTATTTTCTCATAGTTCTGGAGGCTAGGAGTCCAAGATCCAGGTGCTAGCAGAGTTGATTTCTGGTGTGGCCCTTCTTCCTGGCTTGAAAGTGGCTGCTTTCTCACTTTGTCCTCATATGGCCTTTCCACTGTTGCGTACATTCCTGGTGTCTCTTCCTCTTATAAAGACACTAGTCAGATTGGATTAAAGTCCTACCTTTATGAACTTATTTAACCTTAATTACCTCTTTAAAGGTCCTATCTCTAAATACAGCTATATTAGGGG